CTTGCTCCGTCCAGGCTTCCCAGTCCTTCGCAGCTCCTTTGTGCAAGAGCCAGGGCACGCGTGCCACTTGTTTTCGTCGTGGCTCGTGGTGGTTCGTCCCCCTCGGCCCCCCCCTGAGCCTGAGCCCCAGCTCCTCTGGCCCCCCCCCCCTTGGGACCCCCCCTCCGTCCAGGCTTCCCAGGGCAGCCCCCCTGGGCCGCGGACATCCTTATTTTCGTCGTGGCTCGTGGTGGTTCGTCCCCCTCGGCCCCCCCCCTGAGCCTGAGCCCCAGCTCCCCTGAGCCACCCACCCTCTGGAGCCTTCCTCCGTCCAGGCCGAGGACTGTGCGCCCCGACCTCCGATGCCGTGTGCTCTTCAGGCCAGCAGTCTTTCTCGGGTCTCGGCGGTTGGGGCCCACTTCCGGGCCCCGGGGCCGTCGAGCGCGGACCCAGGGCGCAGAAGGGACCTCCGCGATGCCACCCGCGGCCTGACGAGAGACCACACCGGCGGACGTCGGAGCGCGCCTGCCTGGCCAGGCCAAGCCAGGGGCGCGCACGTACGCGCACCGCTCCTGGGCCCGGCGCGGGACCGGAGCCCCAGGCCCCATGGTTTCTGCGGCATCTCTCGAGCCGCATCCCGGAGGGTTCCAAAGGGGGTTTTTGGGGAGGGGGTCTCCCAGAGAGCCCCCCAGGGGCCTCGGAGCCTCGCCAGAACAGGGGGTGCGACGCCCCGGGGGGACCTCCTGGAAAGCCCCCTCCCCCCCAAAATCCCCTCTGGGAAGCCTCCTGGCATCGATCTGTGGTGGCCCCACAGCGCGAAAGCTGGGCGACGCCGCCCGTGACGCCTGGATCTCTCAGGGTCCCGGGCCCCGCCGTTTCTGCGACACCTCTCGAGCCGCGTCGCTCCGTGGTGGCCCCACGGCGCGAAAGCTGGGCGACGTCGCCCGCGACGCCCGGATCTCGGGGCCCCGCCGGGGAGGCGGTGGAGCTGCCCGGACCTCGCCGCCCTGCCAGGGCTGGCTGCACGCGCCGGCGCTGGACCTCACCCGCGGCTTCGCGAACCGCGGCCTTACGGGGCCCAGACATTCAGTGTCGTGTATCCGACCCCCATCCCCATCCACACCCCCTTCGAGACCCCCACCAAATTACCCCCCAGTTGGGGATACGCCCCTCGAAACCCGAAGGGGACGGCCTATATCCCCATCTGGGGGGGGTAAATCGGCCAGTGGGGCCCAGGCCACGCCGCTGGGGATGGGGATCCGTTAAACGATACTCAAACGTGTACACCACCACCACCTCCTGCACCCCTTCCCTCTCTCAGGAAAGAGAGGAAAGGAATAGGAGGGTAATTCGAGGAGGGAGGAGGAATCGGCGTGGTGGTGGTGTACTTCTGTTCTTGGCACCCCCTGCCTCTCTCAGGAAAGAGGAAAGGAATTAAGAGGGCAAGTAGAGGAGGCAGGAGGGATCGACGTGGTGGTGGTGTGCATTCTTGGGGCCCGCAGGCCTGGCCACCCTGGCGCAGCTGGTGCAGGGCAGGACCGCCAGGGCGGCGGAGCCGCAGCCGCCGCGGGCGGAGCCTGCAATGGCCGCGCCCGCGCCCGCGGGCCCGCCGGTTGCGCCGGAGGCGGAGGTCTGCGGCGAAATCCGATCCTCAGAGGAGGAACGGGTACCCAGACACGATCGCGTCGTAAAAAGTCAGGACGGGAGGTTTTTTGCAAAAACCTCCCGTCCTGACTTTTTACGGCTTTTTTCCCGGCCGAAAATAGCCATGGCCGAAAATAGCCATGGCTATTTTCGGCCCCGGGTGGGCGGGCCCTCGCCGGGCCTCGGGACCGTCAAAAACGATCCAGGATGAAAAACCGATCCCGGGGAAAGGGTCGGGACTTTCCAGGGACGCCGTCCTGAAAAAATCAGGACGTCGCATGTCTGGGAACAGTTACTCCTACCGCCACACTTCGCCCGAACGTTTCCCCTTTTTTCTGGAGGGTTCCAAAGAGGGTTTTTGGGGAGGGGGTCTTCCAGAGAGCCCCCCAGGGGCCTTGGAACCTCGTCAAAACAGGGGGTGCGAAGCTCCTGGGGGACCCCTGCTGGAAAACCCATCCCCAAAAAATCTCCACCCTCCGGTTTTTCGCCCTCCTAGGCGGCCCTCGTCGCCACCGCTGGATTCGCCTCGAAATCCTGGTCAGAACGCACCCCAGGAGAGGTCCGGGGAGTAGCGGCACCTTTTGATCTCCCCAGACCCTACCCTCGCCGATCAACGATTCAGGCAATTCGATGGGCGGCGGGGTAGGGTTCGGGATGCGCCGAGGGCGTGGCGAAGTCCGAACCGACCCCCGCCTCCCATCGATGCAGGAGAATCGATTGTCGGCTGATAGGGTCCCGACATAGCCCACCCCACCCAGGAAGGTGCAGAGTCGCTATCGTGGGCTGATCGCCGATCCGTCGGCGATGCATCGCCGATTCGAGCTCGATGCTTCCCGCCCTGAGCCGCTGCCTCCCCCCTCGTCGCCGCTGCCTCTCAGGAGTGGGGCCTCACGGCGGAGGACACGGCCGCGCTCTCTGAGTGGGTCGCCCCGGAGTACCTGAGCGCCGCGCACTTGGAAGCCATCGCCGAGCGCTTCGCGGAGGCGTCCTACGCCGTGCTGTCGGGCTTCCTGCGGCCAGACGTGTTCGAGCGCCTCTCCGCCCTGCACGCCGCGGTGGACGCGGCGGACGCCGGCTGGGCGCCAGCCGTGGACCACCACCAGCCCTGCAGCAGGCCCATCCTGGGCCCCGGACCGGTGTGAGTGTGGACCTCCGGGCCCGCGCAGGGAGGGCCCGTGCACCAGTCCAGGGCCCCGCACGGGCCTGGCCTGGGCTGGTGGTGGTGCCTTGCCTGGAGCTCTCCCACAGGACGGCTTCGGCGCCGGGCGGCCCGAGCCGGCGGCGCCCCCGTACGGCGCGGGGGCCGCGGGCGGCTGGCGCGCCGTGGGCCCGCCGCACCTGCGCCGCCACCTGCGCTACGACGGGGGCGCCGCCACGCCCGAGCAGGACCCCGGGGGTGCGGCGCTGCGAGGATCGGGGCCGGCCCAGAGGGGGGTGGTGACCAGGGGTGTGTGTGGATCTCATGGCGGGGGCCATGGTCTCTCCCCAGGTTTCACGACGCCGCTTCTTGTTTCATTGCGTCCCCAGCGCCCCCCCCCCCCCTCTGGGCCGCGCACGTGCCGCCGGCCATGATTTGCGCCCCCCCTCTTGGACGCCCCCCTCTAGGACGCCCCCGAGAGGAGGTTCGGCCACGCGCAGAGGGGGGTAGGGGGAGGGGGGAAGGCTTCTTAGAAGCACCCTGCTTCTTAGAAGGCGCGGGCGCCCCTTCCAAGAAGCTTGTTGCTGCTTCTTAGAAGCTGTTCCTGGCGTGCTTTTGAGAAGCAGGTGGCTTGCTTCCAATTTTTCCTTGAGAAGCCCTCCTCCCCCTACTCCCTTGTGCGCGCTGCCAAGAGGTGCCCCAGCAGAGCACCTTACTGTAGGTTCGTGCGGCGATGGCGCCTCCGCGAAGCCAGCGACAGCGTTCAAAGGTTGAGTTCTGCGACGCGAGGGCACCGAGGGGCACAGCGCCCCCATTGGTCCGGACAGATTTCAACTTTGAACGGCTGGGGCCGCGATCGATTCACGGTTGAACGATCGACGCGGTGTCAAAAACCTTTGCGCGTGCTGGCGCCTCACGAACCTACTGAACTGGCATTGGTCTCTTTTTGAGTTTGTGAAGGGCACCACCGCTCCAAACTCGCTGAAGGAATTTCCAGTGTGAGCATACACATCACCACCACATCCAAAAGGACCACACTCTAGAGTCTTTCGGTCATGCTCACAAGCATGCCAGCGTGCACTTTTCACGCAAGCCCAGCGACACCACACGCACACCTTACGCACGCAAACCAAACTTGGCCTAATTTTGCCTCCCTGCGAGGCGACGTTGCGAACAATTACCCCGACAAAGTACCCGACCAGCAGCAAAGTTCAAATCCCAGACATCTGGCGCCTCGAAAAAAGTCGTGACGGAGTTTTTCATTGTTTTTGGCCTCTCGGGGCCCTCACCAGGCCTCGGGACCGTCAAAAAACGACTCGAGATGAAGCATCAGTCCTGGGGTAGTGGTCGAGAGGTCGGGGGCCCGTGTCTCGGACGCCGGACGTCTGGGGAGGTGGGTCGAGGAGTAGTAGGAGGTCGGCCAGTGGAAACGTACATTCCTAGTATTCGTAGGGATTCCCAGGAAATGCACGGGTATGTGCGCCTCGGTGTACCCTGAGATCCGACGTTGCAACAAAATTACAACATCGCGAAACATCACGCCCAGAGCCCCGGACCGCATCTTTCTGCGTCATTTTTCGAGCCGGATCGCTCTGTGAGGGCCCCAGGGCCCGACACTGAGCGAAAACCCCCGCTGTGAAAATTACAACGCCAGGATCTCAGGGTATGCTTTGCAAGGGACGTGGCCGTCCAGATCCGAATGTAGCCGGCCTCGAGGCGAGAGCAGGCCTCCACAGAGCACACCTGTCAGGAAGTGTGGCAGCGACGCCGCGGCTGGACCGCCCCTGGACCAGGCGGTCTCGGACTCTCCGCCTGTCTTCCGCCACAACCACCATAAGTTGGAGGGGCACGGGGTCCTCCTCCTTCTCCTCCTCCTCCTCCTCCTCCTCCTCCTCCTCCGCCTCCGCCTCCTCCCCCCCCTCCTCCTCCGCCTCCTCCTCTTCCTCCTCGTCCTCCTCCGCCTCCTCCTCCTCTTCCTCCTCCTCCGTGGGACTCTTCTGTGGATTTTTTTTTGGGCCCTATCACAACTCTCTGGCGAAACGCTATTCGGGGAATGTAGCAGCATTGCTATCAGGAGGAGGAGGAGGAGGAGGAGGAGGAGGAGGAGGAGGGGGAGGAGGAGGGGGAGGAGGAGGAGGAGGAGGAGGAGGAGGAGGATGATGATGAGGAGGAGGAGGAGGAGGAGGAGGAGGAGGAGGGGGAGGTCCCAGCGGAGGAGGAGAAGGAGGAGGAGGAGCGGGAGCGGGAGCGGGAGCAGGAGCGGGAGCGGGAGCGGGAGCGGGAATCGTTATGTGCTGGTCCCGGGGCCCGGCACCAGGTGCAAACGTCTGGCGTGCCAAAAAAGTAGCATTGCCAGGACCTCTCCAGACATCCTGCGTCTCGATTTTTTTGAGACATGGGCCCCTGACCTCGAAGAAGAAAAAACGCCATAAACAAACTGTGAGCGCTCCGCCCGGATTTCTTGGATCCGCGCTGGCCCCCCCCGGCGGCGCCTCTGGCGCCGCCCCTGGCGCGCTTCGCGCGCCACGGAGCGGGGTCCAGCGCAGATCCAAGAAATCCGCGCGGAGAGCCAAAAGTTTATGTTTTTTTTTTTTTTGTTTGTAACATTTTTGTTCTATGACCTTTCGACCACTTCCCCGGGGCCGGTTTTGCATCCCGAGTCGTTCTTTGACGGCCCCGAGGCCCAGCAAGGGTCTCGAGAGGCCGAAAACGGTGAAGCACCTCCGCCTCGATGTGTTCGAGGCGCCGGATGTCTGAGCTCGGGCAGGGCGGCGGCGGCGGCGACGGGCCGCACCGGCAGCTGGGCGCCGCGATGCAGCGCGTGGCGAGCGGGCTGCTGGGCTCCACGGCCTTCCGGCGCTGGCTGCACGCCTGCACGCGCCTGGAGCCCAGGCCGTGCGGCGCAGCCGAGGTGCGCCGCTTCCGCCCTGGCCTCGACTACACCGTCGCCGTGTGCCCGCCGGCGGAGGCAGGCGGCGCTGAGCTGGACGCGACCCTGGTCTTCGTGGAGGGCGGGGCATCTCAGGGGCAGCGTCGGTCAGAGGAGGGCGAGGCGAGAGAGCGGCGGTTGGCCCTCTGGGGGCCCCCTCGTCGCCGCGGCCGGGCGCAGCTCGGGCAGCCGGGGCGGTCGAAGCCCAAGAGGGGTCCGGAGGCCGATTTTGGGCTGCCGTTGTCTCACTCGCCCTGCTCCGAATCAGGGCGGGATAGGCTCAGGGGGGGATGCATCGACCCCCAATCGCCCACTCATCGCCGATATCGGCGATGGCCCCACCCCGCCCATGAGCGCGCGGCTTCGCTGTCGTGAGCCTATCGCCGATCAATCGGTGATGCATCGCCGAGTCCAGGTCGGTGCTTCCCCCCTGAGCTGGCCCCCCCTGCAGCCAAGACGCTGACATAAGGACCACCTTGTGTTCAGGAGGAGCTCTGGCTTTCGGGCCGCTCCTCAGATCTGCAGTCAACCCGCATGGTAAGGATGGCCGACTTTTCCGAGGTTGCCCTTTTGCATCCTTCTCCTTTGGCACATCCTGTGCCATTCCTCCTCCTCCTCCTCCTCCTCGCTGGCCGTGCCCGCTCGCAAAGTGTCGACGTGGCCTTCCAAGGCCCGTGCGTCCCTATCGTGCGTCCCTCTTGCACGGTTGGGCTGCAGGTCGGGGACCCTCTCCGCGGCCGAGCTTCGCCGTGGCGAGGAAAGCCCCTCTTCCTCCTCCTCCTTCTTCCCCCTGCTCCCCCTCCCCCTCCACCTCGTCCGCCTGCTCCCCCTCCTCCTCCTCCTCCTCCTCCTCCTCCTTCCCCCTCCTCCTCCCCCCCCCTCCTCCTCCTCCCCCTCCTCCTCCTCCTCCTCCTCCTCCTCCTCCTCCTCGTTCCTCATTTGACGTTCCTGAAGTCTGGTTAGCGCCATGGCTGTCACGATCGCTGCCCCTCGACGTCGGCCTCGGGCGGCGGCGCCGCGCCCGCGGGGGGCGCCTCCGCGGGTGGTGCGGCCGGCTGGGACGAGGAGGACCTCGGAGGCTTCGAGTCCTACCTGGCGGCCGACGACGAGGAGGAGACCGCGCAGGCGCAAGAGGTCCAGCCTCGTTTAAACAGAAACTTTTTTGGCGCTCCGCGCGGACTTCTTGGATCCGCGCTGGGCCCCACCCCCCGGCGGCGCCTCGGACGCCGCCCCTGGTGCGCTCCGCGCGGCAGGGAGGGGGGTCCAGCGCGGATCCAAGAAATCCGCGCGGAGCGCCAAAAGTTTATGTTTATGGCGTTTTTTTTTTTCTCTTCTTCTCTTAACCGACCCCTACACTCAACCCACATAGTAGGAATGGGCAACCTTCCCAAGTGTAACTTTGCATCCTAGCCCTTTCGGCCCATCCTCAGCGACGTTCGCTTGCCAGCCTCGTTCGAAAAACGTCGACATGGCCCTCCAAGGCGCGTGCATCCTTACCGCGCATCCTTATGATACGGGTTGACTGTATCCCCGTCCCTTCTCCCATGTCGAGCCCGACGATCTCGGCTCTCCAGCTGGGGACGTATGTGCCCCTCAAGGCCCGGAGGAAGCAGCCTGTGCATCCCCAAGTAAGGGGGGGGAATCGGCCAGCGGTGCCCAGGCCACGCCGGTGGGGATGGGGCTCGGTTGAACGATGCTCAGAGGTGTACCGCGGCTCCGACGAGGGGCCGCTGGTGAACCTGCCCGCTGCGGCCAACTCGCTGTGCCTGGTGATGCGCGACCCTGGCACGCCGCCAGCCGCCGTCGCCGCCCTCGCCGCCGACTTTGCCGCCCTCCTCGTCTCTGCCGCCATCGCCGACTCCAGCCGGGTGCCGCTGCCCGCCGCCGCCGCCCCCGCCGCCCTCCGTCGGCGCCGCCGTCGCCAGGCATCCCACGACCTGTTTTTGTCAGGCCTGGGCCCCCGAGGTCCCAACCCCTTCCCTGTGGCCAGCTTTTCACCCCGGCGTCGGGAGCCTCGAGACCAGGGTCACTGCAAACGGGGGTCAGCCAGAGCGCCAGATCCTGCAGGATCCTGCAGAGCCAGGGCTGCACTGACCTGGGCTGGCGTGCAGGATCCTGCAAGGCCTGGCTGCCCCTGGGTTGGCACTGACCCGGGCCAGCAGAGAAGCCCGACGGACCCGTCTTTGATGGCCCTGGGGCCCGACTGCGGGCCCCAAGGGCCGAGGCCGGCGGAGATCGCCTGGACTGAAAGACCACGTCGTCGTAGATCCGGGGACGCCGTCGTCCGTCTTCCGCCGCCGCCTTCTGCCGCCGCCGTCGGCCGCCGGCCGCCGGCCGCCGCGGCCGCCGCGAGAGGCACGCTCCGCTTCGTGAAGTTCCTGAGCCGCGACGCGCCGTCCTCGCGCGCGGACGTCGCGGGGTGCTTCTCCGTGGACATGCGCGCGGCTTGGAGCCACCGCTCAAGGGAGGAGAAAACACCCGGACCCGACTATTGGCGTTGACTGAACGGTACTGAGCGTTTACTTCACAGCCCTGCCCTGTTCGATTCCTTCTCTGGGTGCGCTTACCAAACGGCCTCGCGTGTCGGGGTGGTTATTCTGGGGGTGGGTTTTCCGCCCTCTAATCGCGCGCGCGCGGGGGAGCCTCCTCCGGCTCGCCGGGCTGCGGCTCGGCCTGTCTCGGCCTGGGCCTCGCAGCGCATCGCGCTCCCTCCCTCTCCTCTCCTCCCTCTTGCCGCCGCTCGTCCCTCCTCCCTCCTCTCCCCTCCCTCCCTCCTCTCTCCCTCCCTCCCTCCTCCCTCCTCCCTCCCTCCCTCCTCCCTCCCTCCCTCCTCTCCCCTCCTTCCCCCTCCTCTCCTCCTCCCTCCGCCCGCCCCCCTCCCTCCCTCCCTCCCTGCACATCCTGCCTGATGTGTGCCACGGCGGCCTGGGAGTCAGCTCCGCCCGTGGAGAACGGCCTCGTCTCTCCGAGTGGTGTGGCGTTGCTTGCGCTGCGCGGCCGTGGCTGGGACTTCAAGGACCAGCACCATGTCATCAGCGGCCTCGGAGTCGAGCATGATTTGCTGCAGCTCTCGCCGGTGCAGCTCAGGACCCCGATTCGTCAAGGGGCGGTGCAGGCATCGAAGAGGCACTCTCTTTTTCTTCAGAATGGCCAGGATGGGCCACCTGTGTGCCCTATCTTTTGCGATGGCATCGGCAGGATGTCTCGGGAGGAAAAGGGACGTGGGGCAAACATCACCAGAGGTGCCTTCGCGGCCTGGTCTCAGGAGTGCATTGTGGTCCAAAGTCCGTTTGTATAGGCACAACCTGCATGATGACGAATTGTGTCAGCATTGCAGTGGACAGCCAGGCACTCTATTTCACCGACAGTACGAACGCCCAGCTCACGTGGCCTTATGGCGAGATCAGGCAGGCCCTAGGCTGTGTGAGTGTGCGAGGAAAGTGAAGGAGCGAGGCCCGTTGATGGCTGAAATGTTGACTAGGTGCATGTTCCCTCATCCTCGGGGTCTCTTCGAGTTTCAGCAGGAGCCTTCTCAGACGGTCCACTGGACCAACAAACCTTACGGGTCGGCGAAGCACATGGGCCTCGACGGGCTCACGAGGGCAAGTTGGTCGACTGTCTCGGTGGACAGATTCGGGCGGTTGATCTCGGCGGCGTGCGGTCCTGTCCCTCTGGGTGCGGCCCAACCGCAAACCAGTATGGGCGGGCAGAATAGGCTGTACATCTGCTCACGCATGTAGGTCTTCTCCCGTGTCAAGTGTACCTCTAATGCCACAGCACTCTGGACGTTCTGTCCTGCAGGCCTGGGTACTCAGAGGGCCCTGGGGCGCCTAGGGGGCACCTGCGGGGGCCCTGCGAGCACACGAAGTCGCTCTCAGCGATTTCGTGTGCTCTGCGACCCCGGGGCCATGCCACAGCTGCTGACAGAGGCAGCGGCAGGGGCACGGCCTGGGAGCAGCGGGCCAACAGCGAAGCTGACAGGCTCGCCAAGCTCGGAGCCGTTTGTCATGGAGTCACCGACGGTGACGCCAACCCAGTGTGGGGCCTGAGGAGCCTCGCCCGTGAAGCGTGTAGGTGGGCTGGCAGCCTCGAGGTCGCGATGTGTGGAGGGCACCGGGACACTGCGGGGCTTGTGGCCCCGCCAGGGTCAGCGGCCGCGAGTGACCTTCCAGGTGCCGCGGCTTGGGGAGACGCTGCCAGCAGCCAGGCCCTTGCCGATGATGAGAGGGACGGGGGAGTTGCGTTTGACTTGGGGGAGGACTGGCTGCGATTTTCGCGGTAAGTTTTTAGAGCTAACGGCAATGCGTTTTTGGTTTGTGCCGTCTTTGACCGCCTTCGGCTCCCAGAACAGCAGGATTCAGTTTCATTGTCGCTGTGATCCTGCGGGGGTGCCCACTGCTGGCGCCAAAGGGCCATGCAGGCCCAAGCTGTCCAGGGGCGGACCTAATGAGCAGCCACGGCAGATTCGGCTTGGCAGGCTTCCGTCTTGTGCGAAGGACTTGACAGACATGACCCTGGGTGCCCGTGAGGGCCGGAGCCTCGCCGAGCGTCGATATCGGCCCAGACGCTGGAGGAGAATGGCCGGGCCCCTTGAGGAAGCGTCAGGTCCTCAGCCTTTCGCTCTTGCGAGTGGCTGCGCGTCGCGAGAGCAGGTTCGGGATTCGTGCGGCCTCGGAGAGCATGTCGGGAGCTGCCTTGGACCATCTTCGGTTGTCTTGAGCCATTTTGGAGGCCATTTTGGAGCATCGGGTGCCTTCTCGGGGCCACATTGGGCCATCTTGAACGCTCTAACCCCTCGCGACCCCCGAAACAAAAACACCTCAGGGAGGGGGGGTGGGCAGGATGCCCCTTCTGGAAGGGAGGAGGGGTTGTGGAAGATGGCACGATCTATCATTAGACCACCTACGCCCAGAAGGCTGGTGGGAATCTGGTCTGTTACGTTATGCCCTTTTTATGCTATACCCTGTTATGCTCCGCTCTGGTACATCGTAACTTGTTATGGTTTTACGTGATACATTACGTGGGACTGTCTTGTGTTATGCACTGATGCCATACTGCTTTACGTTCGGATCAAATCTGTTAGATCATGTTGTGGTATGCAGTGCATGGTCCTTGTACTACGTCATTTTAGCATTGTTTTCTGCCATATTATGTATGTCGCGGGATGCGTGTTCGTTTTTGTTGTGCGTTCTTGATGTCCATTCTTCATGCCTCTTTGCTCACGCGTCGTGCTGCCTGGACGGCGTTGACGCCGTGACGCCTCCCGCTCGGGGCTGTTTGGTACGCAGGGTGCCGCCATTCGTCGAGGACGCGAGGCGGGATACTCAGGGATTCCCCGGATCCTGTGGGGTCTGGTGACCGCAGTCAGCAGGGTGGGATGCTGATGTCAAGGAATCATAGAGGAATCCCACTGAAACCTCAAAGAGAATTCAACGGCAATTCAAACGAACCTCGGCAATCCCACTGCGACCCCAATGCAGACATTTTTTCTCAGGGGGTCCTATGGGGGAGTCCACGGAGGGGTATATCAGACGGATTCCGCGACCCCTCCAGCAATATGTCAGCATTGTTTTGAAATTAGTAGACCACCAGCTCTGGTGGTCGACGTTGCGGTTCCTTCAGCTAGGGCGTGTTAGAGCAGTACCAAAGGAACCTCGAATGAGGCCCATAAGAAAGTCAAAGGGAGCCCAAACTGAATCGCAAATGAATCTTGGAAGATAGTCGAAAGCCCCACCCCCCCAAACCCGTCGTCGAAAGCTCCTCCTGCTCCTCCTGCTCGCCCAGAGGATCTTGGTTCGCGAGCCTCTGCTTGGGATGTCGTTTTTGGCCCTGCCCTGGTGCCAGAGGCATTCTGACTTTTTCTGATGAGAGGGTGGGTACCGATTGCTTCCTAGGGGTTATGCTTGGGCACCGCCACCGTCCTGGCCGTGATCGCGTGTGTGGATGGAGGCAGCCACGATAAGGGGAGGAACGCTCTTTCTCCTCCCGCTCCTCTTCCTCCTCCTCCTCCTCCTCCTCCTCCCTTTCCTCCTCCTCCTCCTCCTCCTCGTCCTCGTCTTCCTCCATCTTCCTCCCTCTTCCCTCCTCCGCCTTTTCCCTCCTCCTCCTGCTTCCTCCCGCTCCCCCTGCCCTCTCCCCATGTGCTCCCTCTTCCCTCGTGCCTCCTCGCGCGCTTCCATGCCTCACCCCTCTGTGGCCTCCCGCCGCCGCCGTCGTCGTGGACGCCGCCTTCCCGCCGCCGCCGCCGCCGCCAGCGCGACGGCCTGCCGCCGCCGCGCCCATCCGAGGCCCGAGGAGTCCGACCCGGAGCCGGCCGCCGCCGTGGAGAGGCCCGCTGGCCCGCCGTAGGGCGGCCGCTGCCGCGGGCGCTGGGGGCTCGGCGGCGGCCCCCGGGAGTCGGGGCTCAGAGGCGACGACAGGGGCGAATCGCTCAGGGGAGAGCAAGACGTGTATCCAGGGGCGCCGAGAATCCATGTCTTCGAGAGGGCTCCCGGGCGAAGACGTGTAGTGCCCGCCACTGGGCTATTCGCCCCCATCGTCGCCGCCGAGACCCGAGGCCAGCTCCACGAAAATGTGCGGCCGCCCCGCGGCCACTGCCAGGGTGTGGGCTCGCAGCATCTGGCGTCGACGTGCCAACTTATTCAGAGTGCGACAGGGCAGACGTGCTTGTGGGGCGACCGTGGGCTGGCCATTCCGTCCGTCCTCTCAGCCTCTCCCTTCTCCTTGCCAGTGATCCCCTCCTCCGCTTTGCTCACCTTCCTTCTGCCCCTCCTCCTTCCACCCCTCCTCATCCTCCTCCTTTCTTCTGCACTGACTTTCCTGGCTCTTCTGCGCTCATCGCGCTAGAGACATGTCCAGTGCAGTTGTAGCGTTCTCGTTTTGTGACGTCGCCCATTTTTGGCGTGCGCTTTGTCTGTGCGCCTCACTTCTAGAAGAACCACCTGGCAGACTCGTGAGCACGAGGAGCGCTTGATCAAAATACCTTCAAGCGTCGTTAGTTTCTGGGCTCTGGGGGATCCAGCGGAGTGCCGTCGCACGCGAAACCGAGTCGAGCCCCAGGGCGCTGCCGAGCAGCCGACGCCACTTCTCCTGCGACCCCAGGAAAAGTCCAGCGGAGTGCCTCCGTGAGCAGACCTAAACGGGACCTCGATTCCCCCCTTCCGCTTCCTCCCCCTCCTCCTCCTCCTCCTCCTCCTCCTCCTCCTCCTCCTTCGTAACAGAGCTCCTTGGCGCTGCCACACGTGCTACTGCCGACAGTTTTCGACGCCTCACGAATCCCCACGAGAGGCAGTTTTTTGCCCACTGGCGAGAACGGGCGTGATCGGGAGGCGGGGAGGGGGCCGGTCACGACAGGATTCGCGCGGGCGCCATCTGGGAATGTTCAGGGATGGCCATTTCCCAGATGGCGCGGCACGAATCGTGATGTGACCAGGGGGAGGAGGGGGGGGGGCGAAGCCCGTCTCGGGCGTGACCGCGAATGATGTAGACAATGGCTCGGGGGGGGGCCTCCCCTGGGATCTCCACAGGCTCGGATCGGAGGCCCTCGGAGGCCTCGCGCCCCGAGCGGGCGGGCCAGCGCCGCTCGTCGCTCCCGCCGCGGATCCAGAGCCACGCGCGCGCGCTGAACACGACGTGGCAGCGCTGTGAGTCCGAGGTTGGACTTCCTTCACGACCTCGAAGAAGAAACATCTCCATGAACATACACTTTTGGCGCTCCGCGCGGATTGCTTGGATCCGCGCTGGGCCCCTGGCACGCTCCGCGCGCCAGGGAGGGGGTCCAGCGCAGATCCAAGAAATCCGCGCGGAGCGGCAAAAGATTATGTTCATGGCGTTTTCTCTCCTTTCATGACTGCCGCCTCGGGGCTCGACCTCCGGGGACACCTCGGCAGGCTGTGGACCACTGGTCGTCCTCCAGGCCCCGCGGGGGCCAACGGAGTATCCGCGTCCCCTGAGATCCGACGTTGCAAAAAAATCGCAGCATCGCAAGAGATCACGCCCAGAGCCCCGGACCGCATCGTTCTGCGTCACTTCTCGGGCCACGTCGACCCTGCGAGGGCCCCGGGGCCCGAGACGGAGCGAACACGCCCGCTGCGAGACAATTGCAACGCAAGGATCTCAGGGTCCGGCGCCTGCCGAGGTCTCCTGGAGATCGGGCCCCCGGGCGGCGGCCGTGGACGGACCCCCGCCTCGCAGCGCGTGCCGTGCCTTCGACGCGCGCGGGCGGATCGCCCTTTGCTGGGCACGGCGCGCCCGCGGTAGCCGCTGCGGCTCGTGCGGCCACTTTTGGGGGCCCCGCCGCCATGGTGCGATAGCGGGTCCTCGCGGGACAGGCGGCGCCGGCAGGGCAGAGCGGGTGAGGTCTGGAGCCGGCGGAGGAGCTGATCGGCGTCGCCCCAGCACGCTTATGCTAGAGGTGCGTCGCCCCCCCAGGGGCGACGCACACATAGTAAAAGTGTCGCAGGCCTGCAGGTTTGTCGCCCCCCCCAGGATGGAACGGGTGAGGTCTCGCAGGCCTAGAGGTTGACACCACCACCAAAATCGGTGGTGTGCCTCCACCGAGGGAAGAAGATCCCGATCTCGATGGTGGTGGTAACATTCTGGCTTCCAAGGTGGCCGAAATATTACCACCAACACCGAAATCTAGGCTCATCGTCCCCCTGTGGAGGCCACCCCCTATGTTGGTGTTGGTGCCCATTCCCAGGCCTCCAAGAACGGATGAAGTCTGGAGCCGCCTGCGGAGCTGAGGTGGCCCAGCGCTGGCTCCTGCCAGCAGGAAGGGGGGAGAAAGGGGCCCCCTCGTCGCCACGGCCGGGCGCGGCTTGGACTCAGGAGGGGAAAAAACACACAGACACAATTAATCGGCGATTCCCAGAAAATATAGGAAAATATGGGAATTGGGGGGGAAGACAGAAACCCAGAAAATATGGGAAAATATGGGGACTATTTTTATTTGTGTGTATTTATTTGTGTGTCCTACTTTCCCTTTATGGACGACTGATCAGTTTCGACCCCGGGAGGGGTCCAGAATCCGATTCTGAGCGGATTTGCCCTTGTCCCAGGCGGTGCCAGGCTGCGGGCCCGATGTTGCCTCACTTCAGTTCGAGGAGGGAGGACGTCGGCACAAGCACAAACCTTAGCTCCGCAAGGATTTCTCGGGTCGGCGCTGGAGCCCCCTGGCGGCGCGTCCAGTGCCGATTGAAACAATCCGCGCGGAGCTCCTCAAGTTTTGTTTATGCAGTTTTTGTTGGTCCCTCTGTCACCGAGGTGGCCCCTGAGCGTCACCATGGCGACCGGGGAGATCGGGGTTACCGAATTCAAAGGCTCCGGTGTGCTTTCCCACCGAGGCCATCGAGTTCAGTGATCCTGGCCTCCCTCGTCCGTGTGGTGCGTCTCGGGGGCCCGATCGTTGAGCTGGACGACAGCATGGTGCATGCAGGTGGAGAGGTGAGGACAGACAGGTGATGCCCGGCGAAGAGTGAGAGGTGAAGCGCCAGCGGTTGGAGAGGGATGAGGACAGACGATAAGGACACGTAATGCAAGGCGGATGGAAGTGGTGAGCGATGCCACGTCAGGGATGGGGATGGTGACACATGCGTCTCGGCCAAGACTCAGGAGCGAAAGAAGGACGTACACGTACACGAATCCACATCGGTTTCAAGAGTTCGCACTGCGCGAACGTTCGTATCACGCGGCCAGTCTCGCGGATTGGGGGCCGTGTTCATCTACGTGGTTGGGCGCGTACGTCCGAGCAGCAATTGACCAAACGGGCCCCAGCGCTGCCAACCACCTGTCCCCGAGCAACCTCCGGGTCGGTCTTGGCTGGCTTTTTGGGATTTTTTTGGGGCCACATTCGGGGCCGCCACTGCGGGCAGGTCCCGGATTACTCCTGGGCGATCTAAGGTCCGTGCCCGCGCGCATGCCTTGCAGTAAACGTCCGTACATCGCACGGATGCAGGATGCAGTTTTTTTGGAATCAAGGTTGCCCTTGCCTCCTGGGGTCTCTGGCCTACGAGGAATGGCAGACCAGGCCCAGCCTTGGCCACATGTTCTGGAGTCGTTGACCTGCTGCCGCCGCAATTGGTTTCTAGACGTCCGAGGGCCACGCATCCTGACCCAGTGGATTTTGGCTGTGCCAGGTGGAGACAGATGAGAGCTCAAAGGAGAAGAGGGTACCAATACCGCTACCCTTGCCTCGTTTTCGCCTTTTTGGGCCTCCTGGGAGGCCCTCGTCGCCACCGCTGGATTCGCCTCGAAATTCTGGTCAGAACGCACCCCAGGAGAGGTCCGGGGAGGAGCGGTATTCGGTACTTCCTGGTTTCCCCAGTAGCGGTCCTCGCGGGACGAGTGATGCCAGGAGGAGGAATGGGTCAGCCACGCGCAGAGAGGGGTAGGGGCAGGGGGGAAGGCTTCTTAGGAGCACCTCTGCTTCTTAGAAGGCGCGGGCTTTCTCTGTAGATGTAAGTCCGGCGCCTTCTAAGAAGCAGCCTCTCTCCAAGAAGCCTTCCCCCCCTTCCCCCTACCCCTTTGAGCACGCCGCCAAGAGTGGGGGAGGCAGTCGCATGATAACAAACTGAATGATCATAAACTTCCGGAGCTCCGCGCAGACTTCTCGAGTCGGCGCTCGGAGCCCCCTGCCCGGGCTTCTTGGCGCTGCGCCCGGCGCGTGCCGCGCCCTCAGGGAGGGGGTCCAGTTCGCCATGGGGGAAGCGGGCCCCGAGGGAGGATTGCACAAAAAAACCCGAAGGATTGCACAAAAAAACCCGAAGGATTGCACAAAAAAAAAACCCTGGTCCTGAGGATTGCACAAAGGATTGTGCAATCCTGGGTCCTGAGGTCTTTCGCCGTTTTCGGGCTCTCGGGGCCCTCCGCGGGCCCCGGGACTGTCAGGAGAGGACCCAGGCTGAGGAGCTCGTCTTGTGGAAGGCACCCCGGGTCCAGGATCCGTTTCCCCCAGGACCCGTTCCCCCCCTATGCTGAAGAAAGCTTCTCTTTATTTTGGCTTCGCTCGGCCGTGTCCATTTTTCTCGGCGAGGACCATGGATGAGCATCCTGGACCATCTTGCGAACAAAAGCTGACGAGACCGACAAGCGCATGGGTATGGGCGTCCGAGCGATGGCAGGTGTCATTCCTATAGATCGGCCAGCAGGCGGCGACGGAGGTATAGGCGGATGCAGGCGGTCAGAGGGGTAGCATTGGGCTTATTGTGCACTTGCTGCTTCCTCTCGACCTCCTATTTCTCCATCTCGTCCTCTATCCCTCAGTCCCTGCATCCCACCATCCCTCCATCCCACCTCCTCCCTGCTTCCCCCTCCTTCCCCTCCCTACCTCCTCCCTCCTCCCTCCTCCCTCCTTCCTCCCTCCTCCTCCCTCCTTCCTCCCTCCTCCCTTCTCCCTCCTCCCTCCTTCCTCCCTCCTCCCTTCTTCCTCCCTCCTCCCTTGTTCCTCCCTCCTCCCTGCTTCC